GGGGCTGTTTTATGTCTCCATTCGACAGCACAGTAGAGAGACAGGAGACGGGGAGGCAGAGAGAGGGGGAATGACACGCAGCAAAGGCCGTCCGACGCGGGACTCGAACCGGGGCAAACCGCAGCGAGGACTGCAGCCACCCGACGCCCCTAAAGTTTCATTTCTGCTTCCGAAAACCAGGCTCCACATGCACATTCACTGCTTCATTATCACATGACAGCAGAGAAGTGGACCGACACCATCTGCAGGGTTCAGGTTCAGGTTCAGGTTCAGGTTCAGGTTCAGGATCGGGTCTGGACAGGACAGAGGTTTTCAGCTGCTCGTCTCACATTCATCTTCATCTCAACGTCACGAGATGAATCACGTGACTCCTCCGTGGTTCAGAGCTGGTTCAGATTTAGAGTGGCATCATGGTCTAAGATTAGTCGTCGTGGTTACAAGGAAAAACACTCATACTGAAACTAAAGTCACTGAAACGTAGTTCTCCTCACTCTGTCTCTGTGTTTCTAAACCTGGAATCCCTCCTCTGTGTTCTGATGATGGAGAACGTGGAGAACGTGGAGAACGCCCTCTAACACATCCCAACAAAATCCAACCGAGCTCCTGAAGAACCCTGACTCACTAGATCCTGTTCTTTACCATCAGTAATAGGAAGTCACAGAACTGGAATCAATTAGAACAACAACAACACAAACAGTGTGTTTGTGTTATTGTTGTTGTTGTTGTTGTTGTTGTGAACCAGGTTCATTCTGACTCATTCATTTTAAGTGTGTAACACAAACAAGAGAAAACAACACAAAACAACTCTACACACAGCTGATCACAGCATGGATCAATATTAACAGTCTCAGAGGTCAGAGGTCACTCACCACAGCAGGTCGGCATCAGCAGAACAAACCAGAGAGAGAGAGAGAGCAACACGTTCATCCTGAACGAGAGACACACACTGACTGAGGAGAGAGAGGGTGAGGGAGGGGGAGAGGGTGTGTCCTCCCACAGTGATGATGTCAGAGTTAACCCTTTAACAAACACACAACTTTATTTTAGATCCCAAAGAACCAGATCTGTCAGTGTGAGTTCTGACCTGAGAACATGGGGGTTCTCACTCATGACAGACAACAACCTGTGTGTTCTAAAGGTGTCCTTTTTTTCAAACTTCTTCCTTCACTTGACGTTCTGCTGAAGGTCGTGGAGACAAAGTTGTTCAACCCCCAAAAGAACCCTAAGATCTGTTACAGACTCATTCTCCTCACTGACCACTAGAACCTCCTCACTTACCACTAGAACCTCTAGAGAGACATGTAAACCTTATTTGCTGACCACAGGAACGACCCAAGAAACTTGAGAATCTCCTATAGACCCCTAGAACCTCCTGTTTGTCCAATAGAACCTCCTCAATGATCACTAGAACCTTTTAGCTAATCACTAGAATCTTCTTGGTCATCGCTGGAAACACTAAAGAGACCTCTAGAACTTTATCGATGGCCAGTAGAACCCCTAGAACCTCCTGTTTGTCCACCAGAACATCCTAAATGATCACTAGAACCTCTTAAACCTGCTTAAGGGAACTTTAAAACCCTCTCAATGGCTGCATGACCCATAACTTTCTCAGTGACAACTAGAACTTCCTAAACACCACAAGAACCTTCTCATGGACGACTGAAACCTCCTCTGTTAGCATTACTTCCTAAGAGCTAGAACGTTTTAAGGGGTCTGTCAAAGACTCCTAGAACCACCTGAAACGACTCTAATACCTCCTCAATAACCACTAGAACCTTTTAAGAGACCATTAGTACCTTTTAGCGAAACACTAGAATCTTCTTGGTCATAACTAGAACCACAGATAGAGACCTCCTCAATGACCACTAGAACCACCTAAACACACTAATATCTTTTCTCTGATGATTAGAACCTCAAAGGACACCTAGAACCTCCTCAATGGCCACAAGCGCCTCAAGAACCTTGTCATTCACAACCAGATCCTCCTAGGGAACCTCTAAAACCTCTCAGGAGACCTTTGAAACTTTCTTGATGATCACTCATACTTCCTACAAGACCCCTAGAACCTTCTCTGTGACCATTAGAACCTCCTACACAAATAAAAGAACTGGAACGAACTGACACAGAATGTGAAAGTGTTATTTTTTTTACAGTGCAGTCAGTCCATCATGAAGAAAGTGAAACTTCAGCAGGACAAATCCTGACATGCAGAGAGAGTGTGTGTGTGTGTGTGTGTAGGTGTGTGTGTGTGTGTGTGTGTGTGTGTGTGTGTAGGTGTGTGTGTCAGCAGGGTTTTTCCAACATGTCAGTCTGACAGAAAAGAGCTGGAGGCAAACATCAGGTGTGTCTCTCCGTGCAGATACCATCATGTGTCCCCCAGCAACAAGGTGTGAGCTAAGGTTCCTAGGTAAAAGTAGTGGCTGATCGTGAGTCACTTCACAGCTGTTCAGCCTCAACAATAACAACAATATTTATATTATTATTACAATTATTATTATTTTCAAGACACTCAAAGAGGAAAGAAAACAATAACATGATACAAGAAGTGAAGCAGCAGCTGAAGATCAGAACAGACTCAGAGACCTCAGCTCCCACCAGAGACCCAAGACCAGAGACCCAAGACCAGAGACCCAAGACCAGAGACCAAAGACCAGAGACCAAAGACCAAAGACCAGAGACCAGAGACCAGAGACCAAAGACCAGAGACCAAAGACCAAAGACCAGAGACCAGAGACCAGAGACCAAAGACCAGAGACCAAAGACCAAAGACCAGAGACCAGAGACCAGAGACCAAAGACCAGAGACCAAAGACCAAAGACCAGAGACCAGAGACCAGAGACCAAAGACCAGAGACCAAAGACCAAAGACCAGAGACCAGAGACCAGAGATCAAAGACCAAAGACCAGAGACCAAAGACTAGAGACCAAAGACCAGAGACCAAAGACCAGAGACCCAAGACCAGATACCAAAGACCAGATACCAGATACCAAAGACCAGATACCAAATACCAGAGACCAAAGACCAGAGACCAAGGACCAGAGACCAAAGACCAGAGACCAGTGATCAAAGACCAGAGACCAAAGACCAGATACCAAAGACCAGATACCAGTGATCAAAGACCAGAGACCAAAGACCAGAGACCAGAGACCAAAGACCAGAGACCAGTGATCAAAGACCAGAGACCAAAGACCAGATACCAAAGACCAGAGACCAAAGACCAGAGACCAAAGACCAGAGACCAGAGACCAAAGACCAAAGACCAGAGATCAGATATCAGAACTTTTACTGAAGGAGAAGAGTTTTGTTTGCTTGTAGTCTCAGTGTGAACATGTTTGTCACAGTTTATGTTACGATATAAATGATTATAATATAAACTGGACGTCAGGGGGACGTGGATTCAAACTGGGACATAAATGAAAAATATAGTCAGATTCAGGTTTTTCCTCTGCAGAGATTTACACTCCCAGTGTTCCCACTGATAACTCCCAGCATGCAGCAGGGGGGGCGGAGTGATGGATTGACCTGCCTGTCAGGAATTCTTCCTGCTGTGAGACAAACTGTATACACACTGTGTATGTGTGTGTGTGATGTTCCACAGGTCCTGGAAGATATTCCAGGAGGCCTTGAGGATGTTCAAGGACTGCTAATGGAGTTGCAGATGGTTACCTGCAGTTTAAGGTAAAAAACCCCAGACAGCCAATCAGAACACAGGATGTATCAATGAAGAATTCCTCATAGACCGTCACATGTTTTGCGCCCTCTGCAGGAAAACCTTGTCAATGTCATTTTTTTTGAGGTTTTGTTGTCTTGGTGATGTCACAGTGATGTCACAGACACACGTTATGTGCAGTTTCAGACTGAAACACAGAAACATCAGAAACTCTGAATCTGTTTTTTGATCCTCGAACAGTTTGATACAAGCACGTCAGAGACGAGGCGTCGCCGTGGTAACCAGGCAGACATCTGAAGCCGGTTGGCCGTTGGACCGATCGTAAAAACACGATGCCGCTGACGGACATGGGAATGAGGCAGAGCTGTGACCTCTGACCTCTGTGAGACTGACTCTGAATCTGTAACGACTTCTTCTTCAGCTGAGGGTCAAAGGTCACGCCGACTGTTTGTCTTTCTCATTAACTGCAGCGAAGGTTCCCACACTGAGGTCTGAGGACCCTCCAAAGGACCTCAAAGACCTTCCACAGGTCCTTGAGGGGATTCAAGGAAAACAAGGACGATGGAAAAATTCTTTCTCCATATTTTCTTTGAAGCAGAAGCAACGTGACGCGTCGTGTTTGTCGTCACATCTGTTGAAGCCTCGAGTTTCACATCAAGAACAAATAATAATCAACATTTTCCCCAAAAGCCATAAAAACATAGGAACACAAACAAAAACCGGCTGGTCCTGGATCTGTGTGTGTGTGCGCATGTGTGTGTGTGTCTGTGTGTGTGTGTCTGTGTGTGTGTGCGTGTGTGTGTTTGTGTTAATGTGTGTGTGTGTGTGTGTGTGTGTGTGTTAATGTGTGTGTTTGTGTTAATGTGTGTGTGTGTGTGTGCGTGTGTGTTTGTGTCAATGTGTGTGTGTGTGTTAATGTGTGTGTGTGTGCGTGTGTGTGTGTTAATGTGTGTGTGTGTGTGTGTGTCCAGTCTGGGTCCAGGAGTCAGACTCTCTCTCTACATTGAAGATCACTGTCCTCTGTGATAAAGCTTGTAGTTAGACCTGGATCAGGTGAGTCCTGAACCGGGTCTTAGTGATGCTGCTAGAGACCAAGACTGCTGGGGGAACTCCCATGATGCTCTGCCACGACTACTCAAGACTCATCACCATCATTAATCATTCACTGTTATTAATAATAACACCAGCAGTTTCCTTGTTCCTGCTGTTTCCACTCCCACTTGCACTGTGTGTGTGTGTGTGTGTGTCTGTGTGTCTGTGTGTGTGTGTGTGTGTGTGTGTAGTCAGATCTGTTTAATGTTTAGAGACAATGAGGAAGTGTACTCTGATCTCAGGTGTTTTTGCAGCAGAAGTTGCGCACAGTCTGACTGGAGCTGAAACGTTCACTGGAGAACCCGACTGAAGAACCTCCTGATGACTGAACAGAACCAGAACTGATGAGACTGATGAACAGATGTGACGAGAGATGAAGCTGGAGGTGAAGATTCAGCTGTTGAAGTTCTGCTCTGCAGTTTTCAACTCCCTCTTCCTGGTGAGGAAACTTTACATTTTATCATCTGTCTTCAACCGAGACACAGACACAGACACAGATACAGAGACAGAGACACAGAGACAGACACAGAGACAGACACAGAGACAGACACAGACACAGAGACACAGAGACACAGACACAGAGACACAAGAGCACACAGACACAGAGAGACAGACACAGAGACAGAGAGACAGACACAGACACAGAGACAGATACAGAGACCAGATACAGAGACAGACACATAGACACAGATACAGAGACCAGAGACAGAGACACAGAGACAGAGACAGAGACCAGAGACAGAGACACAGAGACAGAGACCAGAGACAGAGAAACAGACACAGATACAGATACAGAGACACAGAGACAGAGACCAGAGACCAGAGACAGAGATCAGAGACCTGGACACCTGCTGGAGTCACTGGTTCCTTGTAAAATGGATTTTTAGGATTAGGATTAAGGCGGGAAAATGAGGCCCCAGTTCACAATGAACATCAGAAAACATCTGTACAGTAACATAGTGAAGACAGAGACTGTGTCTGACCTTTGACCTCTGTCTGCAGGCTCTGGGTCTGAGTGTTGCCGGCTGTGCAGTTTGGATCCTGTTTGGCAAAGGAAACTTTCTGACCGTCCTCTCCTCTGGTAACTGAGTCTGATCCACATGTTGCATGTTGTTAATCTCCTGTCGGGGGGGTGGGGGGGCACATGACCATGAAAAACACCTCTGAACCTGCAGCTTCAAATCACCTTCACTTCCTCATTTGTTTGTTACTGGACAGAAGTTGCACGGCTGCTTCCAGTCTTTGTGCTAAGCTAGGCTAACAGTTTCCCCCTGCTTCCAGTATTGTCTATAAGATTTAATTTTGTGTATTTGTGTGTGTGTGTGTGTGTCTGTGTGTGTGTTTGTGTGTGTGTGTATGTGTGTGTGTAGTGGAGTTGAGTACAGTAGCTGTGGGGCTGTTGATCATTGGTGGAGTGGTGGTATCAGTCAGTGTTGTTGGATGTATTGGAGCTGATGGAGAGCATAGATTTCTGCTACTGACCGTGAGTCACAACACCTGATATGACACCTTTCAAAACCTGATATAACATCTGTAACACCTGATGTAACACCTAATATATCACCTGTAACACCTGATATATCACCTGTAACACCTGATATAACACCTGTAACACCTGATGTAACACCTGTAACACCTGATATAACACCTGTAACACCTGATGTAACACCTGTAACACCTGATATAACACCTGATATATCACCTGTAACACCTGATATAACACCTGATATATCACCTGTAACACCTGATGTAACACCTGTAACACCTGATGTAACACCTGATCACAATCATCTACATAAGACATGACATGAGTCCTCCAGACTGACTGAACTCTGCTGGTCCTCCTCAGTACCTGGGCTTCCTGATCATCCTGGTCCTGGGCCAGCTGTTCGTCACCCTGCTGCTGCTCATCAACAGGAACAAGGTGAGAAGACTTTTATTTTGGTGGGAAGGATGTTGAAGCTGTCTGTAACCCAGAGTCTGTGTGGTGTCAGATTGAACGGAGTCTGGACGCAGCAGTGGATCAGATCATCCTTCAGTACGGAGGCAGCAGCTCTCAGGACGCACTGATGGACAACGTGCAGCACTATGTGAGCGTCTCTGCTGTTTGAGATTTTTAATGTGAAACTGCGTCATTGTGTTTTTACCGTTTTAATCAGGTCCGTTTGTTTTTGAGAGGAGAAGATCTCTGAGGATCAGTTTTTAAATAACCACATATTCTCCCCCAACTCTGCGTGTGCAAAGCCTCTCTGCTCTGATCAAATACTTTTTTGAGAAATTTTTATTTTCCTTTTTGTATTTTGTATTTTTATACTACAGCAGGCCAAGTTTACCATCTTTACTTTAAATAAAATAAATATAAAAGGACTACAGCCTTATCTATATGTGATAGCCATGTTGCCCCCTCACTCTTCTGTGTGCCTGTATGTTTGATTATTTAACTTTATTTTAACTAATTGAAAGATAATGACTGATCGACAGGGGGAGTGCTGCGGCAGGACGGGGCCAGCTGATTGGCTGAAGAACTCCTATATCCAGAGTCTGAACCTGACCAGACCAGACGTACTTCCTTGTTCCTGTTTCAGCTCGTATCGTCGCAGCTTTAACTCGTCCTGGTGCTCAGAGCTGCTGAACTACACCGAGCCGCCGTACGGACGAGGAAACAGCTCGTATGACCAGGTACGTCTCAGACACATCGTCACATATCGAGTTACACATTGTATTGTCTGCTCATCGTTGTTCAGGATGCGGCGTGTGTGTGTGTTGTTGTTGTTGCAGGGCTGCAGGCAGACGCTGAGTGTGTGGCTGCAGGAAAATGCTTTGACCATCCTCGGTATGGACGTCAGCCTCATTCTGATCCAGGTCAGAGTCTCTACAGAGAGCAGTTGCAGCAGTAAATGATTCTGTTATACTGTGGGGTGTAATGACAGTGGCAGCCTGTAGGGGGCCTCTGTAACACCTGACACTTGTATCAGCTGATATAACAGCTATAACACCTGTAAAACCTGATATAACACCTGTAACACCTGTAACACCTTTAACATTGAGTTCACTATAAACAGGTTTTTACTGCACTGACACTCTGTCTCTCTTCAGGTGCTTCAGTTTGTGGTCATGGTCTACCTGTACCGCGCGGTCGGAAGGAAAGCCTCTTTGAAACGATCCAATCGGCTCATTGACCCTGACCACGCCCACCTAGACCACGCCCAAGCAGAAGACCCCGACTATGGGGAGCAGAACGACGCCTCCCCAGACCCCAACGGTGGTTATATACACACCGCTTATCACCATGACAACCAGAATCACAACCGGGTGTACCTGGAGCCGGCTCAGGGCTACAGCTGAGGTGATGTTTGGATCACAGCTGAACTTCATTAAATCTGTAGTTGTAACAGAAACATAAACAGTTCTGAGCTGTTTGTTCATTTTCTATCAGTTTGTAAGAAAGAAAAGTTTATTAATGTGACATGGAAACAACGTGCTTCACAAACAGATGACAAATAAAGATTTGAAAGAAGAAGAGAACGTTCATTTAGACAAAGAACATCAGGTAACATGAGAACAGCTGGCTGCAGCTGGAGAGATTTCACAGGTGTGTGCTGCTGAAACGTACCTGACAGGAACGTTGGGCCTCAGAGTTCATCCTGTGACGTACTGGGAGCCAGTGTCAGGACTGAAGTGTGGTCTGTTCTTTTGGTTCTCATTAGAACCCATTTGTTTGGTATGAGCTGAAGCTGATGGATGAAGAAGGAGGAGGAGACTGGAACAGTCGTCAACCTGCTGGAAATAAAAGCATGAAGAAGTTTTTCATACGCAGAAAAATGTCCTTTTGGAGCCGTATTTTCCTCCTCTGTCACCACGGCTTCTCTGACCCACAATGCCACAGTCATACACTTCGCTAAACTCTGATCATGTGACTCTTACTTTTCAAAATAATATACATGAAGGGCATCTAATTTACAACCAAAAATTACTTTAAATATTATATTTTTAATTATAAAAGTATTTCAAACAAACGTTTTACCCTTATATCCTATTCATTCAAATTATCATGTATTTATATGAAACGGAAAAAATAAACATGTCAATGAAATCTGTCCCTCAGACAGTAACCCCGTTGTTAAGTTGAAAAACACAAAAGAACTTTTATTCCACACAAGCAGGTCGGCTGATGTTTCTTTGTTAACTCAACATGACAGGACACGGTAAGAAAACCATATGACTCCACAGTTATTCTAGCCTCCACTAGACTCCTTCATTCCACAGCTCAACTGGAGTAAATGTGCACTCTCTTAAAGTGACAGTACCTGAATAACATATTCTACACATAAAATATAACTTAAAGTCAAATTTAATAAAATTATGATTAGTTTTTTACTATCCAAAAGGTATAACTCAAAATTTACCAATTTGAATATTGTAAAAAAATAAATAAAAATCAAGCTAATCCTTGTCTCATACAGATGAGTACTGTCACTTTAAGAAAAGGCCGGTAACCTGCTCAGCTGCTGCACATGAAATTGTTACAAATTAAGGCAAGAAATAAAAATGCAAATTTAATGAGGACAGTCTTCTTCACATTCTTACTGACGGCTCATGAGACCCAACGACAGGAGTGCAGGCTCTGCAGTTACAATCCCATATCACCAAACTGAAATATTCAGACAAACTTCTGATATCCGAGACCAAATAAAGTCCTCATTTGCAATGCTTCTGTATCAGCACTCACAAGTCTCAAGTTTATTGTGTTTGAGGGTAATTTACAACACATTACAACAGAACTGCATTGTAAACTAGAGTGAAACCATCAGCATATTGTGGTTGTTTTTACAGTTGTAGAGCTTTGGTCAGTGCAGCGGTACATCAGAGTTGTTACCGAGTGTTTCCTCATTACGTCATCATTATGTCACAATGAGTTCCTTCACAACAAATCAGAGACAGCAAGTATTTCAATTATAATATTCACGCCACATATAAATAATCATATCCAGGTTGTTTTCTGATGCATCAGTGATGACGACGACAACTTAGAAAAATAAATGTAATTAACAGAATATCATTTTAACTCCTCTAAAACATTTAACTATGATCTGTGTGGGAATGTAATTACACAAAATACAAAACGCTCGTCCGTCTGACAAAAATGACTTGGCTTAAAAATGAATGTGACTTGTAGAGCAATAATATACTGGCCTTTGTCACACTGAAAAATCGCATATTTTTCCTAACGCTAACTGCCAGTCATCTGCAGTCTGTTCCTGTGAGGAAGAGAAAAGACGAAGGACCTTTCTGTCTGAATTTTTTCCGTCTGTCTCTCCTGGTGTGTAGAACATTGCAGTTGTGCACATCGACACACATGACACATCTATCAGGAGGAATATGCTATTGGATCAGTCAAGGTAACTTTCAGTGTGACAAGCATCAGTGTACAGCCAGCACATCGTCTCTCTACAAGTGCCATTCATTTTATTTTGTATTATTTTTGTCAGACGTCAGAGTGTTTTGTAAACATGTAAATACTCCACACAGATCGATGGTTAAATGTTTAAGATGAGTTAAAAAGTATCAGGTTATTACACTTATCTTTTTAAGTCGTCATCACTGATGCATCAGAAATTAACCTGGATATGATTAATTATATGTGGCTTGACTATTATAATGAAAATACTTGTTTGGAAACTTGCCGTCTCTGATTTGTTGTGATGGAACTCGTGACATAATGATGAAGTAACGAGGAAACACTCGGTAACAACTCTGATGTACCGCTGCACTGATCAAAGCTCTACAACTGTAAAATCAACCACAATATGCTGATGGTTTCACTCTAGTTTACAATGCAGTTCTGTTGTAAATTACCCTCTTTTACACCTGAATCTAACTGGACAATGACAGTCCAATCAGAGGGCAGGTGGTTCTGTTGTTGTCAGATCCTGAAAGGATTAGTTTAGTTTTCTGCACAAGCACTTTTTTTTCACATGTAGAAACTTCTCACACAGATTTATTTTACAGGTTTAATTAAATATAATAATTATAAATAACGTCAATTAAAAGTTATAAATGGAGATAGAAAAAGTTATCCTCCAGTATTTCCACCAACAGTCACAGTGTGACACACCTGCAATGTGAGTGAGGTCAGTACCAATCCTTCTGGGTTGGCCACACTTGCTGCAGATGTATGATGTTGGCTGCCGGTGGGTTTTTCCTCCAGGCAGCGCCCCCCGCTCTGCCACAGCAGCTTCGGGCCGCCTTCCTCTTCCTGTAGGCTCTGGTCCTGGGTACAGGTAGTCCAGGCAGAGGAGGTGGAGGAACAGAAGAGGGGAGTGGCACTCGAGCGAGGGGAGGACCAACAGCACTGGATGAGGGGCCATGCTGTTCATCGTCTGGAGAAAGAGGAAGAGGAGGAGGAGGAGGAAGCAGACTCCTGCTGGAGGGCCCAGGCTGCTCCTCCGGGACATTGAAGTTAAAGGGCTGTCCTTGTCCCACCTGTACCAATTATAGACCCTTTGTCTGGCCAGCACCTGGACACAGAAACACAGACTGTTAAAGATGAATCACAGAACAGATTACAACACACCAACAGCTTTATGACAAACTCTTACCACTGAGTCCTCAATTCAATTCAAGAGCTGGATGTTGGTCTGAGCCATCAACCTGGGGCTGGCCAGCACTGCCTCTCTGATGGCCACATAATCCTTGAGAATGAATGACCAGCGAGTCCTCAGGGTCGCTCCGGACCACGTGGCCACCGGGTGAAGACGGCAGAGCTGGTTGCAAACGGCCTCCACCAGGCGGCTAACACTGGCCCAGTTTGCAGGGCCCGAGTTCAGTCCAAGAAGACAGCTGAAAGATAATCAGAAAGCAGTGTGTGTGAATATAGATCTGATATTCATTAGAGGAAACAGTGATATCTGAAGTGAAACTCACCTCTGGAGACTCTCCTTCCCAGGACAGGAGGTGTTCTTCCCCGTTGCTGCCTTGAACTGTCACCTGGGCTGCCTCTCCTGGTCTCTGGGAGGGAAGACAACTCGCCATTTCTCTGCTCTGTCTGGCAGGTGTTGCCAGGAGCTTGGAAGTACTTGGCACTGGCTTGAGGAAAAAGGTTTTGGATCAAAACTGAATTCTATGTTTGCATGAAATTATAATACACAATATACTTAATCACAAGCTATTAGAAACACGCATGTACCTGGGATGAAGTGGTGAAGGTGGAAACCAGAAGGCTGACCCCGCCCCTTTGTCAGTCTACCAGTCTCTGTGTACAGCTGCACCTGCTGGGTCCTGAATGCAGCTGAGGTGGCGCCTCTGTGTCTCCATACGTCCTGGATGCAGAAAGAATCCAGCAAAGAGACGTTCAGGGTGACGTGGAGATCCTGGATGAGGAGGACCGTCTCCTCCGCCCCATGTGTCCTCCTCCAACAGTGGAGCCTCCACTCCCAGGAGATCCTCAGGATCACCTTATCAACAGTCAGGCCGAGCATCCGGTGCTTCCCCTCCAGCGAGCTTCTTTGTCACCTGGCTGGAGAGAGAGAGAGAGACAAAGATGTACACGTACATTGCCGCCATTATCATCATTTATTGATTATACATGAACATAGTTCAGCAGACTCTTTATTACAACTAAGCTGAGGGAATAATGTATTTTCAGATATCTGTGACAATCTAATCAGAGTGCTGTTTTCTTTTTCTCTGTACTCTACAATATGATATTGATCTGATTTCTCTCTATTATGTGTTTTTCCATCCAGCCAAGGTCTGGATCTTTGGTGACACCTACAACCTCTTGCAGCGATGATGGAGGCCCTGCACCACCTCCACCTGCAGTGTCCACACATGATCTTCTCTTCCCAAACATAGACACAGTGTTTTATATGATAATATAGTATTTTTTAATGTAACACTTGTGGCCATAACATTGTTCAGTCTGATCAGCTGTGCTCTTCCTTGTTCCCTACACCCTCACTGTATTATTACACTCTCTGCCCCGTGTCAGACATACAATCACATGACTTTTGGACTCCACTGTAGTTTTAACAAACTGTCAATAGTTTAAAACATTAGATTCATATTTCAAAGTCCTCAGCCATTATAGTTAATATCAGTGTGCTGTTCCAACAGCATCACTTATTTAGAGGGAGATTGTTACTGGAGCAAATAAATATGAACTGTCTCACACATTAGAACTCATGATGAATAATGATTATACTTGTTACTAAAGATTCTGTTGCACTGTTGATTCAACTACTTCTTTTTATTAAGCAAACTTATATATGACAGTGAAATTCAGAAGCCATCACTAACTGCTGAGCTAAAGTAACTAGCAGATGAATAACATGCCAACCTGTAACCAACCAGGTCAGAAATCCCACACTGTTTCCACCGATCAACCGCTGCTGTGACGCACAGAAAGCTAGCCGGCTAGCTAATATACAGGAAATACAACTGCTCACGTCTCAGACCCATGGCAAACTGTTAACTAACATGTTGTTTACAGACAGTTTTAACATAAAGACTGGAAGTGTGATTTAAATGAAGTTATTGTAAGAGGATGCAGGCTGCTGTTAACTCTGCTTACTTTCTACCATGAGAGAAGAAAACATTAAACCAAGATGGCGTCCCGTCCTAAAAACTACAGTGTCCCACAGCGGTCAAACAACACCAAAACCGGCATTCACCTGGGAATAAACATTGCAACTATTTAGGCTACTGCCCCACACATGCATATCTGTAGGTATTCATGTATGTACAGTATATGCCTGATAGTATGCATGTATGTGCAAGAGCTTAGTACCAGTATATCTGTATAAGTGAAGTTTTCAGTTTTGGTCAAGCAGCTTCTCAGAGAATTGACTAAAACTGAGTGACACACGTTGATATTGTGGCTAATAGCAAATTGAGAAATACATTTATTGAGCACAGAATAGATTTTAGTTTGCTCAGGTTACGGTTTTATTTGCTCAAAAATATTTTTT